AAAAAAAAAAACAGAAAGAAAATATTCTCTTATACCACTACAATCTTGAAAGAAAACTCAGGATTTTGGTTCTAAACCTCTGCTACTTAGCTTCAGGTTCCTGCAGAGTTCAGAAGGTAAATGCAGCTTAGGATGTTAAGCATTTTCAGGAGTTGTCCAGTAATACTAATTTTTAAGAAATTCATTAACTGAGACTTTCAGGAATTAACTCAGTACTTTAGGTGTATATATTTTTTTACTATCTTTCTGCTTGCCAATATTGTTATATAGTTAAAAGGATATATGACTAGTATTTCTATATTAGTCTTTTAAATAACTTTAATTTCAGTTATTCTGAGCGATACATTTACAAAACTCCTGAAACCCGCACCCTTCTTCTAATTGGTAGATGGCTGCTAAGCTGATGAACAGTGGTGTGAGAATGAATGCCATTTGCCCGGGCTTTGTCAACACACCCATCCTTCAATCTATTGAAAAAGAAGAAAACATGGGACAATATATAGAATATACAGGGTATATCAAGGACATGATGAAATGTCATGGAATTTTGGAGTAAGTAAAACTACACTGTCTTCTTTTTTATAGTGGAGTAAAGTACTATCTAGACAAACAGCAAAAGAGAAAAAATAAGATTTTAGATATGAGAAACTAATGCAAACTTCAAAGTCTGCATTGGAAAAGTCTCTGAAAGACAACAATTTTGTGGACTAATGAATAGAATGCTTATACATTATAAATTTTATCTGAAATGCTGACAATGCCTTCCTCCATAATCATATTTTTTCTAAAACAAAGATTTTTAATCACCTTTGAGAAAAATTGTAATTTTTCTGCCTGAATTCCAAGCAAGGTTCAAGTATAACCTTTGAAATTTTGTATGATCCCATAATTTCTACCATTTTCATAAAAACAATTGCTGTATACATACACACAAACGCATACACATGCACACATACACACACAGATATCTTTGGTAAGTTGGATCTGAGAGTTGTTGAGACTCAACACAATCACAGCAATCATGTCAAGTGAATCAGACCTAGGATCAAGTCCTGACTCTACTACTGACCTTGAAAAAAAATTTTAAAGTCTTATATTCAAAAGACTTTTTTAAAGAGATGATATATGAAGTATACCTTAAATAGCAACTGGTGAAAAATAAGATATTCTATAAATCCTATCTGTAATTCATATTTCTTTTCCAATAACAATTCTGATAACTCTAAGATGTACTGATTTGATAAACATGAGAAAATAATTATTTTCTCAGTAAAAATAATAACTATAAATATGTCCTTTCAAAATGATGAAAGATGAGGCATGGAAATGTACCACCATATTTATCATATAATTTAGGTTCTAATTGAATAAAAATGGAAGGTTAAAAATATCTTAATGAAAATTATTTTTTCTATTGCATGTTCAAGGTTGTAGATTCTTCAGAAAATAATTAGAAGTGATAATATGCCTCATTATTTATTTTCAAAATACCAATGTTTCCTTCATTTGTAGCCCATCAATGATTGCCAATGGATTAATAACACTCATTGAAGATGATGATTTGAATGGCGCTATTATGAAGATCACAACTTCTAAAGGAATTCATTTTCAAGACTATGATACAGCTCCATCTTATGCAAAAGATAAATGAACATCTTAGATACCAACAATAACTGAAAATAAATGCAAATGACATATTCAAATCATATTTTTATTGAAATGTAGCTTTTTAAATGAAATGTTACAGCCTGAAGCTTTCCTTCATACAGCTGATGTTAACTTTTTCTAAATAATTAGATAAATCTATGGATAAAAATTTATGATAAACTATCAAAAGTACAATGCAAAACAAAGCAATATTATTGTAATCGGTATGATCTAAGTAATGATTAAAACAAAAGACATTTAAGGAATAGTCCACTTTTCAGAAAATGTATTTAAATCTGTGGTTCATGAATATCCATGTTTTTTAGAAAATCATTTTAAAGGAGATACTTGAATTGTTATTTAAATCGAAACAGATGTAAAAAGAAACTTTGTTTCTGCCTTTGCACTTCAAAAGAGGGAAGCTACTGAATAATGGCTAATGTTTAGGAATAATAATCTTTACTTTTATATCATCTTTAAATTGAACTCTTTAAAGATGTGACATAGTTTAGGATGTGTATTTAAGGAGTAAATTACAGTGTGACTGTATCCCAAGTGAAAAATCTGATGTATAGAAAAATAACAGAAAGTAACTGAGATTGTTGATTCCAAGTTCAGCCTCAAATCATGGAAGAACATTTTTTCCTCTTTGTTTTTTATTTTAAGAACTTTATCTCCAAAAATCTCAGGAATGAAGTTTTTAACAGTTATAGGAAAAAAAAGGATTGTTAGTCCTTCTAACATTTTATATGTAATATATGCTCTTTAAGAAAAATTGCAAATGTAATAGTTTTTCTTTTGTTGACAATATTCTATTTTGTTTTATTAGGGCATATTAGTTATGCAGAATATGTGCTTCATTTTATCATATTTGTACATGCATATTACATACTTTGATTATTTCACCCTCATTTCTCTCCATCCCCTTCCCATCTCCCTCTGTCAATCTGTTTCCTCTTCTCTATTATTCTCCTTTCTACTTTTTTCTCATCTCTATTTTTTTTAGATATGAGAGAAAAATATGTGATATTTGACTTTTTGAGTCTGGCTTATTTTGCTTAACATATTTGGTTCATATTATTTCTATGTTGATTTGTACCAATTTCAAAAATGCTTATATTTTAATAAAAGTTCTTTATTCTAACCTCTGTAATTTGCTTAGTCTTTTATGTGTATCTGTTGAGGAGATGAAACTGAGTTTTCCACAGCCACAATGGAAAGTGTTTTTTATATACACAGAAGTTCATAATGACACAGAAGTACAGCAGCTGTGATGTTTTTTCCTTTTCACCATTAGATATCTTAAGATTCACTGAATGCACCTGCTGTGTGTAATACACTTCACAAGATTTCCAAAGCAATCATTTCCTCAAAGAAATATTGTGAAAGTGACTCACTCTTCCTGCTAGATCCATACTTTCTAGGTTAGAGCAGAATCCATCCATGTGAGAGTCATAAGAATTTCCAAGAGATCCTGGAGTACTACACCTCCCTCTGTTTTAATTCTCCTGTAGAGAACCACTGCCTTCATTTTTAGGAAGTAAGTTGAATATGAATAACTAGTTTAGCGTTTCGTATAATGTATTTGACATAAACATCCATGAACACCTTATGAAGATAAATTATAATTGGGCACAATATTTTGGCACATTCTAGCAGTGACCCACACATCAATAAATTCAACCAGCTGTGTGGCCAGCACAGGAGGTGGAGTTAGCACCGCACTTCAGCCTCCCCCTGAAGCTTTCTGTTGTTGCCTAGTTGTGCTGGAGCACAGCACAATTGAATTATGCAAAAGTCACTAAAAATTACATCATAATGTTAAAAGTTTACAATTTTGTGGGGCCGCATTATTAGCTGCCCAGAGCTGCCTGTGGCTCATGGGCCATGCCTGGGGTACACCTGACGGTGGACTGTATGAGGCTATTTTGTTCCATAGGCTAAGTGTACTGAATGCACTTTTGCAGTATTTTCATCTCAGTAAGAGTGTATCAGGCCATGATCTCATTGTGGCTCCAGGAGCACCTCTAGCTGTATAAGTGATTGTGCTGCCCATCAGATCACCTCACACACCTCTTTATCAGCCTTCATTGATTTCTCATTGCAAATGAGACATAATCATCCCTCCCTGACCTGGATCTCACTTTTTCTCACTGCTCTCCTTTTTTACTTCAATGTAGTCTCATAGCTTCTCTAAACCTTGAATATTCCCATCTCCTCCTTTGGGGCCTTCTTATTCACTGTTTCCTCTGTCTGGATGGCTGTCTTGCCATATATTGTCAACATTAGCCTGACTCTTAACAACTTCCTTGATTTGGCCCTCTGTTTCCACTTAGAATCAACCACTTAGCTATTGTAGGTGATTAACACCACTATTATTTTTTACCTTTATAGGGGTGCTTCTCCCAGTTTTTTCTTTCATTTTTCTTTCTACTTGATTTTGGTTTTTCTACTGTACTATAACAATAGAAGCTCTTCAAGCTTTGTTCCTGCTCTCCAGCTAGTCCTAGCATATAAAACTGTACATGAGACCTGGAATATATTAAATAAATATTTTTTGAATGAATGAATGAAATCTCTATTAAATGGCTAAATTATCCTATATTTTCTTTAAAGAAATGTAAATATCCAAAACCTCAGAAGTTAATATAGCCATTCTTCTTTGTATCTATGAGGTGACTTATGGGAAGCTGTATTTGAGTATAAGAACCACACCATAAGAGGACTTTGGCAGTCTAGAGTTGGGGTTTTATCTTAATACAAAGGGAAAAACACAAAATTCTAAACACCTGGAACTGTCATAAGAAAGAATAGGTATATAATGGGCTCCTAGGAACAGAACTATGAACAGTGGAGGTGAAAGTAGGATGTCCCAAGTTGAAATCCATCTGTCCCAGATACAGAAAATTCACTGACCGTTGAGATGACTGAGAATGTCAGCCACCTAGTAGGCTGTTGTACATAGCATTTCTGCATAATCAAACAGCAGAGCTAAATGACCTTGAAAGCTCTTTTGACATTGCCTCTTTACTGTTCGGTTGATACGAAGTACATACAACTCATGGTAATACTTTCCTTAATCATAAAGTAGCATTCTGGTATCCTTCCACTAGTTTGCTTTCTTTCTTTTTCAGATTTCTGCCATCTCCAACCCATTTAATATCTGAAGTATATTGGTAGGTGTGGCTCCAGAACTGTGTGCAGCCTACCATGTTACTTCTTCTTTTCCATGGTTTGGCCACCTAGATCTTTACCTCCAGCTGCTAGCCAAGACCTTTTAAAATGAGTCACAGTGGTCACCATAATGCTGGGTAAATCCATGTTCATTTTATTCAGATTTTGTGGCAAAAGGCTTATGAAATGTTGACAGATTAATGTTCCATTCTTTCTATCCACAGAGGTATGGGTAGGAGTAGAAATGTTTCTTGTGAGGGAGGATGTTTTGAACATCAAATAGTTTTCCTGTTATTTTTACTGTCTTTATCTGATGATCCTAAGCTGCTATGATAAAATTTATCTTTTTCGGTATTCATATACCTTATCAGTAAGGTTATGGTGTGAACAACAGACAAAAACATAAAAGTTTTATGGGCAAACATGCTGCATTTGAGGTTTATGAGACAAAATCAGAAAGTCAAATCTTGATTGTCTAGAATCTTTATTTTTCCAGCCCTTTTACTCTGACCAACTTCTCCTGTCCAAAGTTTTCATAGCGTTATACTCACATGTGTTAATGTATTTTGCATTTCCTTATACCAACTCTCAAATTGTCCCCATTTTTCCTAGTCTGTTATCTGTAAGTACTTCTGCTGATGTAATTTACCTAACACATGCCTCTAATCCCATCACCCCCAGATCAAAATTTCCGTCTCCTATTCCTAGAGACATGAAGTTCAGGCCTCCAGCCAGACATGCCAGGAGTTTCACAATCAGACCATAATTTACAATCCTGGACTTATCTGGACAACTCCTTATCAAATTACAGACTTCCCCAATTCTCCTTGAGTTTGTTTAATCTGTCTCCCTCATCTGTAAAATTTCTCCATGTTGTAGGGGATAGGAGAGCTTGCAGGGAGATGGTTAGAATGGAATTCCTTCAAGAGAAAATTAAAGTCAGAGAATGTATATGGGTGGGGGATCATGGAGTTTCTAAGGAAAAGATACTGGAATGAGAATTGGATAAGTCTTAGAAAAATATATTTTTCCTATTAAGCCTAGTATAAAAGCATAAGGAATAGATTTCTGAATTTAATTTTCTGCATACAGATGTTTATAATCACTGTTGATTCAGGTTCAATTGAACAATGAATAAGTTTTTCATATTATAATCATAGCACTTAAGACAGGGCCTTTTCATGGTTTTCTGTGCCACATGGAAACATAGCAATGCTCACTACTGAACCACACAGCAGTGAGGGTTTGTCAGGCACAATCCAAATTTGCCCCTTCTGGTCACAGTACTTTGGCCTTTGACAAATCTTTCTTCTCATGGTCTATAACATCACAAGTCAGGCCCCAGGGCTGCTGATCTGCTCGTGTACTGCAATATTATTTCACAGAAAGTTATACTGTACTACAATATTATTTCCACACAGTACAATGCAGCAGTTATTGATCTCTGCTTCCCAGTATATTTATCTTATTGTACATGGCAGGGAGTGACTAATGACTAATCTTGAACTCCAAATAATCCTAGTTTTTGTCACTGCTGTAAAATATTCAAAAAAAATTTAAAGGCAAACAGAATAACACTATTTTCATGTACATGCATGCAAGAAAACAGCTTGATAAGTAGAAGTGGCAGTTTCTGATGAAACTTATTCTTTCCTTTTAATGATTGCTCACACTTCAGGAATTTCTAAGCCAAATGATGGTTTATCCTTTTCCATCTACACATTTTTGGCTCCTTAAATATTTTATAATAGAGGGAAGAGATTGAGTCACTCCCATGGGAATTCTCAGTCATCAGCTTCACCAAATGCACCCCTATTGGTGTTTTCTCCTTCTACATGTAAACAAATTAAAAGGAGAAAAGTTAACTCTTCTTTAAACTCTCTTTTGTTTAGCTTATATTCAATCGTTTCAGATTATCTGTAACAATTCTTATTCAACATTAAAAACAAAAAAATGCAACATTGTTCTTTTTTTCTTTGCTACCTAAAGAAAGGGAAAAACTTACTTTAGTACTGTACTAATCTCTAAAAGAGTACTTTCCCATATATAAGAGAAATTTGTGAGGAAAGTTAAATAATCTTCAATTTCTTAGCTGAAATTTTTATGAATTTTTAAATTTATTTGGGAATACTGGGAATTCCAAGAATATCAATACATCTGGCTTTCACTTTATATATACATATTAAATAGGCATCCAGCTCAAAGCATAGTGCCAGGCACCAATGAACCATAGATAAATAAACCATGTGCCTGCCTTCAGGAAGTTCACAACTGTGTTTGAGAAACAAACATGCAAGAAAAAAAATACATATTCCATGTTATAAAGATTGCAGTTCATTGGTGTATGAGGTTAATGGGCAAATTATAATATTAACTTTATCTGAATGGATTAGGAAAGTAAAATGTTTCATAAAATACGGGGTACTTATAATCCCAGCACTCTAGGAGGCTGAGGCAGAAGGATTCCAAGATTGAGTCTGGCCTGGACAACACAGCAACTTATCAAGAACCTGTCACAAAATTAAAAATATAAAGAAAGAAAGAAAGCAGAAAATTTCAAAGGCTGGGAATGTAGCTCAGTGTGAAGTTCCTGAATTCAATCCGCAGTACCACAAAGGTGAGGGAGGCACTTGAGCTGAGCTTTGAAAGATTGTTAAGAGTTTGAGGGGGAGAAAGTTTCAGGGAGGCACACACAGCATACTCAGTTCATCAGCTATAGTCAGCTTTTCATGGATTTACCACAGAACTTGACAATGAAAACAAGTACAGCATGAAGCACCTGCAGTGCCCTTCTAGGAGCTTTGCACTTTATCTTGGCAAAGAGAAACCTTTCATGGATATTAATCAAGAAGCAATATGACCAGGTTGTGTTTGGAGTGGTTTCAAAAATGGAACAGATAAGAGCTAGCCTGAAAGTCTGGAGAATGAAATGGAAGAATATTGCAAAATTTCACAGGGAAGATGATAGAAGCCTTAATA